ATATAAACTGCCAAGCTGAGCTTGGTGGTCTTGTTGTTCTGATAGCATAGAAGGGCAGAGCTTGCAGCTCCATCATCCCCTTCTCCATTCAGCAAAAGGGTTTCACAACCACTTTTGAGTCTTACAGCGTCTTTGATCTTCCTGGGTGTCCTGCTAACTTGCTATCGTGGCGGCTCTTCAGAATCTTGGTCTTGAGGTCCTCATTCCGTGGCACTTCAATCTGTCCACTCTTGTAGAGCACTCCATCCTTCACCAAGTAATGCTTGGTAGCCTCTTTCATTTGACTGGAAACTGGGTTCTCACAGGCTGGAATCAATTCAATCAGTCTGGAATCAATTCGGTCAGTCTGGAATCAGATGGAGTCAGAGATCGGATTTGGCTTATCAGTTCGCTGTCTGTTGGAATATCCACTTCCGGAGTGTTGGGCTCCTCCACACCGAGAATGTCCACTTGGAACCAATGTTCGGCGTCATCCAGATCCAAAGACTTGTCTTCAAACCAGCAGTCAAATTCGGCCACTTCAGCAAATGTGTCAGGGGTGATGTTCTTGGGTCTCAAAAGCTGTCCAAAGGTCAGCTTGTCCTCCTTTGCAGGTGCTAGCTGGGGTCATCTAGACAAAGCATCCGGTTTGGATGACTTTTGGCCCGGTCGGAAAACAATCTCAAAGTCAAAGCATCCCATGGTCTCGGCCCATCTTGCCTGTCTCCTTGTCAGTTGCTTAGTTGTCATGAAGCTTTCAAGGTTCCGGTGGTTGGTGTAAACAATTGCTTGTAGTCGATTCGGGTTGCCTTCCAGATAGTGACACCATTCCTTGAAAGACGCCACAATTGCCAGCAGTTCCTTGTCAAAAATCTCATAGTTCTTCTTGGATTGGACCAATGACCATGATAAATACGCCACCGGGTGAAGTTATTGATCCTTGTCACAGATTTGGGATAAGATGGCACCAAGCGCAAAATCTGAGCAGTCTATCTTCAGTACTGGAGCCGTGGTGAACACGGTTTTCAGAGTTTCAAAGGCCTTGTTGCCATGGTCGTCCCAGACGTAGGGAGTTTTGTCCTTGGTCAAGTCATGGAGAGGTCGAGCTATTCCTGAAAAGTGGTCAATGAATTGCCGGTATAAGTTTGAGAAGCCAATAAAACACTGCAGTTCAGTCATATTCTTTGGTGGCGGCCATTCAGATACAGCTTTGACTTTAGGCGGTCCATCCTCAGCCGGTTACATGATATCAAAAGTCCTAAGTATTCCACTTCTGGTCGAGAGAATTCACATTTTTCCGGTTTCAGCCAAAGTTGATGCTTGCTAAGTGTCTCCAATACCCCCATGACTGCCGCTTGGTGGTTGGTTCCCTTCTGCGTTTAGATCATGATGTTGTCCAGGTAAGCTGCCGTGTCCTTCCCAATCCGTCCCAACAAGATGTCTTGCATGAAATATTGAAAGTAGCCTGGTGCTCCTGTTGGTCCAAACGGCATAGTCAGAGGCGCAAATTGTCCTTGTCAACAGACAAAAGCTAGCTTCTCCTCATCACCCTCCGCAACACGTAGGTTTCCATAGGCGTTTCTCAGGTCAGGCTTGGTGAAAGTGTCGGCGTCAAGTAGGCTGTCAACCAGGTTCATCGTCAGAGGCAGGGGGTACTTGTTCTTCACTGTAACCACATTGAGCTTCCGGTAGTCAAAACATGGGTGTAAGTTGTGCCGTCTTTCTTCCCGGTGAACAGCACTGGTGTTGTTGCCCAGGGCAAAGTGGTTTGTCTGATGGTGCCATTTTCTAGTCCTTCAGTGATCAGGGTGTTGAGCGCTTGGTTTTCGGAGGGTGACAGGGGGATGATCCTGCCTGCTTGGGGAAGGGCTCCCGGCACAAGGTCTACTCAAAAGTCGTAGATTCTTCTGGGTGGCAGTTTCTGGGCACTGGACTTGCGGAACATGTTGATATACCAGTGATAGTGGGTCGGGACTAGTTCTTCTGCCATCTTCACAGGGGTCTTGGCCTTGTTGTCCGCCGCGAGTTGAGCCGACGTTGACCAAGAGGCTTTGGAGGCACTGACATCTGCGGTTGGAACAAGTTCTAGGAGAGGAAGAGGCTTGCCAGATGTTTCAATAGAATTTATGAAAGGGACCACAGTGAACTCACATTGCGGGGGTGTGAATGTGTCAGAAACACACACACCCTTGCCAAAAATCCTAGCTTGCCTCACGGGCTCCACGCCAATCGATGAGGCCTTTGTCGTAATTGGCAAAACTGGCTCGTCAGTTGCAATGGTCCTGTGTCTTCAGTGGTTGGGATCCGGTAGGTGGTGCTATGTCCTTGGAAGGGAAGAGGATTGCCAGCTGTTTCAATATGAATTTTGGAAGGGACCACAGCGAACTCACATTGCGGGGGTGTAAAGGTGTCATAGACACACACCCCCTCGTCAAAAATCCTAGCTTGCCTCACGTGCTCCACACTGTTGAATTTTTGGACTCAGACGCGGAAGAGAAGAGGGCCAAAAAGAGAAGAATCCTTTTTTGGGAGAAGCTCACGGAAAAAGAGTGAGAGAGCCAATGAGTTTTTTATTCACTGTAGTTAAGCTGACTTAAGTAGGCTAAATACAAGTGACCAACATGTGGTTGGGAGAAAAATGAATAAAAAGATTTTTTGAATAAAAACTGAGAGGATTAAACAATTGAGTTCTTGAAAGAAATAACGTGACATGCCTTCTCAGTCTCTTTTAGTCATGCAAGAAAATTAATCAAGAAAAAACAAAAGTTAAGCCACAAATATTGAGAGGCGTTAATTCTCAATAACCAGATTTTAAAGAATCAAATAGTGAAACAGAAAAAGAAAGAAATCAATCAATAAGCTAGAGTTGTTTAATGAAAATTGCCAAGATGAGTTCTAATTAGACTACGAGATAGCATAAGATTCAGCACAAAAAACAGCTATGATTAACTATAATTCAGTCTGAGTCAAGATGATTCAAGAAATGTTAAAGGAGAAAAATTAGGGGAATGTCAGCCTACGTGATGCCAAGATGTATAATCTTCTAGCTACACGTGGTGCAAAAGCAAGCAAAAAGCTTAAAGGTTTTTGGTTTTAATTCTAAAAGAATAAATTCCAATACAATAAGGAATTTATGGCGTAATTTTAGTAGGAAAAATGGCCAATTTATATTAATAAAATTAATATAAATAAAACCAGAGGGGCCTGATGAATCAGGGGTGGTTTAATCCCTCTAAGGTATCGTGCAAAAGCAGAGGATTTAGATACCTGGAACACTGGGGCCTGTGAACAGGTGTGGTTTAAATCCCAGGAAGAATTTAAGGGGGAAATCTCAAGAAAAGGGTTATTACTTACTAGTAATAATCCTATGGGGTCTTGAGGATCTTCAAAGTTGAAACTGGACAGTTGGGAGAGCTCAGAAAGGTTGATTTTGGGTGCTGGGTGATCACTGGGGAGTTTCTTGAGGGTTCTTGAGGCTTTAATAACAGCAAAAATAGTAATAACTAGGCTAATTACAAGTGTAGGGGACTTGTAAATGGTAAGTATGTTTCTATATAGTATTGTAAAGCTGGGGGCTCATTATTTGGGCGGTCAGAAGGCCCTTTAAATACCTGTGGAAGGCCTCAGGGGTTGCTCAGGGGAGCTTAGTAGGACTTGGGGGCGCTTTTGGGCCCTTTTTGGCCCACATAGTGATGTAACCAGGGCTGGAACCTTGGGGATAATATTCTAGAAGCTCCAAGGGGTCATGCACGAAATTATTACAGCCAAGAATGTCCCATGGGAACCTGTAGATAGGGGCTACTCTGTTACGTGGAGTAGTTTCCTTAGAAATGGGCCACAGAATGTTCCAGAGGTGTCTTCTGAGGCTTGCTACACGTGTTACCCATTGGAATATGGTTACTGTAGTATTTTCATGGATATTCTAGCTTATTTACATTCTTACTACACGTGTGGGGGCTTTGTTGTCACGTGTAATGGGGTTTCTGGGGTTTTTGTGGCCCAATCCTAGGATACTGGTGCACTGCATGACTACGTGGCGCGTGGGCTTGGAGACAGAACTCTACACTGCTCTATCTTCTAAACCGTGCACAATACTCCAATTCTGAGACTGGATTTGGAGTATATGCATTATGCATTATGCACAAGAGTCACAGTACCCGTGATCTGGGGGTACCTGTTAATTATTCATGCATGTATTACAGGGTGAAGGAGTTAGAATTTGGGGTACCTTTGGCTGAGGTACCCTAGGTTAAATTGTATGCTGATTCAGAATCCGCAATAATATTTAAGGTTTTGTTTATACTTTTTAAGTTATTCATTTATTTTTATGTATTTTTTACCTTATTTACATAAGTAATATTTGTTTCTTTTACTTATGTAATATTTTTACTTTATACTTAGATTTTTTATGTAATTTATTATTTTATTTGCTATGACAGGTTGTCTCTGCCATAGTAGCAAGCTGACAGGGAAAGAGTAGCCAGAGAGTTGAAAACTCAACACGCCCCCTCTACTCTGAACCAAAGAAGAAAGGACCGGTTGCTTTTGAGGCACAAGCGATATCGGATGAGTCGTTGAGGATGAGGGTGAGAGTGAAGCGAGGGGAGGTTGGAGCAAAGGAGTGTGATGGAGGAGAGAAGGAAGCGAGGTAGGGGGGGTCCAAGTAAGAAGAGTTGAGGATGAGCGAGGGGAGATCGGACCAAAATTGAGTGGAGGAGGATGTAGCGAGAGGATCAGAGTGAAGGGAGATTGAAACGAAGTCAAGTTGGGAATTTTGATGAGATTGGAGCGATGATGAGTTCAGAAGGGAAGTAGCGATGGGTTTGGAGCGAAGTGGAGCGAAGATGAGATGAGAAGCGGCGAGGAAATCGGAGCGAAGATGAGATAACAAAAGCAGCGAGGGGGTGATCGGACCAAAAGAGGAGACATGATGAATTGATAGCGAGATCGCTAGCGATTGTTTGACGGAGGTGATTAAGAACGATCTGATGAGGGAATCACATTCCTTGATTGTAGTCGTATCAGATATCATCTGCATCCATGCGGGTACCGTCAGGGAGAGTACACCAATTGGTGACTCCACGGAGCTGATTGTATTCGTCGACCACGGTCAGATGAGCGGACTCGGTCTTTGGGGCTTTTTCTGGGAACTTTTTCCAGCAGTTGTGAGGTCGGTGGCCGGTTTTTCCACAGTGTGAGCAGGCCGAAGTCTTTGACAAGGAGGCTTTAGTCATCATTGTGGCTTGATTGAAGGACGAGACAGTTGATTCTTTCTTAATGTTGTTGGAGATTGCATAAGCTTCAAGACGTTTCACCGCTGATTCAAACGTTTCGGTGGCGAAACCCATTGCGATGATATCTCGGAACGATTGATATTGTTCGCGAGGGAGCTTTCGGAGCATGATCATGATCTTAACTTGATCGTCTCTGAGAACATTAGCGAGAACTAGTCGTTGATTTGCTAGTCATATGGCAGCGGAGAAGGAACCAACATCGGAGTATTCGAGGTCAAGAAATTGATCGAGGGCAGTCGAGCGGGCGACAAGATCGGATCCAGCATATTTATTTTTGAGCAGTTTCCACAACGCTCGACCTTTGAAACGATCTTCTTCGGGCAAGGTGGTACTGACAAGGGCAAGGTTGGCGGCATCGAGGTTCAGAACAATTTTCGAGTATCCTTTTTTATTGAGAACGGAATACTTATTGAGTTCATCAGGGGTAGTTTTTTCGTCGATCTTGACAAGTCCAGTGACGAGTTCCCGAGCTCCGATGTCTTCAAGTTTGGCTTCAATAGAGACGACCCAGGTTGAATAGTTGTCTGAGGTGAGCAAGTACCGAGAGGAATCGAGTCGAGATTTGCTTTCCATGATGTGGGGTGGTTAGCAGTCTTCGACTGTTAATTGTGTTGAATTTTTGGACTCAGACGCGGAAGAGAAGAGGGCCAAAAAGAGAAGAATCCTTTTTTGGGAGAAGCTCACGGAAAAAGAGTGAGAGAGCCAATGAGTTTTTTATTCACTGTAGTTAAGCTGACTTAAGTAGGCTAAATACAAGTGACCAACATGTGGTTGGGAGAAAAATGAATAAAAAGATTTTTTGAATAAAAACTGAGAGGATTAAACAATTGAGTTCTTGAAAGAAATAAAGTGACATGCCTTCTCAGTCTCTTTTAGTCATGCAAGAAAATTAATCAAGAAAAAACAAAAGTTAAGCCACAAATATTGAGAGGCGTTAATTCTCAATAACCAGATTTTAAAGAATCAAATAGTGAAACAGAAAAAGAAAGAAATCAATCAATAAGCTAGAGTTGTTTAATGAAAATTGCCAAGATGAGTTCTAATTAGACTACGAGATAGCATAAGATTCAGCACAAAAAACAGCTATGATTAACTATAATTCAGTCTGAGTCAAGATGATTCAAGAAATGTTAAAGGAGAAAAATTAGGGGAAAGAGTAGCCAGAGAGTTGAAAACTCAACACACACCATCAGGTGAGTGTTTTTTTGGAATTGAAAAAGCTGCATCAACAGCTGCAAAATCCTGTGGGGTTTTCCTGAATTTTTGGTTAGTCCAATCAATAAGGTGTCCATGCTTACGGATCCAAGGCATTCCAAGGATTCCATTGTAAGAGTCTTTCAGGCAAGTGATGATGAATGGGGAAGGAGATGGGTCAGTGTCAAGAGTCAAGTGGATATCAAATAAAGAACGGCTTGAGGAACCGTCAAAACCAGAGATGGTACCAAGTGGATATCAAATGAAGAACGGCTTGAGGAACCGTCAAAACCAGAGATGGTACGTTGAGAGGGTCTGGCAATATCAAAGAGTTCCGTAGACTTGACATAAGACTTGCCAATCACGTCATGGGTTGCTCCAGAGTCAATGAGAAAAGTAGCAGGAGGGAGTGGCAATGGAATTGTGGCTCAAGAATGTTTGGGTGACACGATGGGCAAAGAAATAAATAAACACGGATCAATTTGATTTCTTGAAAAAATTTCACTGGCGCCAATGCTAACAAAAAACAACTCTCCACTGCTCAGGATAGGCACATCCTTTATTCCTGAGCTCCTCCATTTTTTGACGACTCTGCTCTACTGCCTCCTGCCTTCAACTGTTTGACCTCTTCTTTGAGTTCAGCGATCCGGGACTTCTCCTTCCCTTTCCTCTTCTGTCAGCCTGGGTGATGCCAAGAGCTGGTCTCTTCTAGCTACACCAGGTGCAAACTAAGAAAATGTTATGTACAAGTGTGGGTAACACTTGGAAAGGGGAGTTTTTGATATTAAGAAAAAGAAGAAATAAAAACTATTAAGTTTTTATAAAGGGAGGGGCCTGAGTTACAGGGGTTTTTATGGTGCCCTCCAATGAATCAGGACCTGTTATAAACAGGGGTATTTTTTATGTACCTGATGATCTAGTCCTTTGTGTAAAGGATTATGCCCAGACAAAATGCCTACAACTGAGATATCAAGGAAATATTACCTACTTGTACTATTCCCAAGCCAAGGGGGACTTCAGGAGGGGGAAAACTGGTCTGGAAGCGCTCAGAAAACTGGGTAACAGGTGGTGAGAGAGTGCTGGGGAACAGTTGATGGTTGGTTGGTTGAACTTCAGGATGAAAAACAGCAGGAACTGGGCCAAAACAGGTGATAAACTGGTTGTTGGAGGTGGTTATTGCTGGTAAGTGATGATGAAGATGGGGATTTAGAGTTCGGGGGCAAGAAGGGCTCCTTATATACTCATTCTGGGCCCTTGGAGGCGAGCTCAGAACTCTATCTTGCAGGTGCAAGCCTCCTACTAGGCATTGGTGACCTGTAGCACTGCCTAGACACCTGTAGTCCTTGGTTACAGGTGGCAGAGGGCTGAAGTGAGGCTTGTAACACACACTAAGGGGTGCTGTGACGAAACTGCAGCCATGGTTTGGGCAATGGGACCCTTTAATGACCAGTGGGCTGGTCTTAACCAGGCGTAGTTAGCCAAATTGGGCCAAAAAGGGCCACAAATGGCTTTTGACCAGCCAGTTACAGTTGTTGTGACACTGTAGTTAAGGTTTCAATGATGTCAACCTTATTTGTAGATTTTTCCCGAACTGCATGAACCTTAATTACATATGTAGACCTGTCACAACATGTAGTATGATGTAACTGGGAGGGTTTTTAGCAAAATGAGCAAGTGTCACTCAGAGTACACAGAAGTACCTGAAGGGGTAATAATTCAGGGGTACTTCTGGTGAGGTACCCTAGGTTATTTTGCATGAGAATTAAGAATCTGAAATAATATTCTAATTTTTGCTTAAGGTTTAGAAGTTATTTGTAGATTCATGTTAAAAATGTTTATTTATAAATGTTTTTGGTTTATTTTTATGTTTTCTTTCATGACTAGTAAAACTTAATGTAATGAGTAATAATTTCTCTATTATATTGATTCCACTTATTTAAATATTAATGTTTTTTATATGTACATATGTAATAATGTCTCTACATTATGTACATATAAAATAGACATTAATTACATATGCTATGGGGGTAGTATATGTAATAATGTCTCTAAATATTTATTATGCTATGGTCAGGTTGTCTCTGAATAGTAGCAGGCTGACACCTTCTGTCCACGGTCCGGGCAATCCCTTGAGATGTGGCCTTGGTTCCCGCATCGGAAGCACTGGCCCGCTCGCATCATCTTGGTCTTCTCCACATCCAAAAGGCGGCCACGCATGACTGATAGGTCCATCGCATTGGGGTCTGGGGCCTTGGCCGTCTCAGTGGGGGCTAGACCGTGGAGTTCATTGTCAATCTGCAGGGCCAGGGTGGCGATGTCGGCGAGTTCGGGGAATTCAGTCCGAGCCATCAGCAACATCAGGCGTATTTGGGATTGCAGGCCTTGTCTGTACTGGCTGACAAGGACGGCGGGAGCCCAGCCGGTGTTGTGGGCGTGCAGGTTGAACTGGTGGGTGTAGTGAGATACCGACTTGGTCTGCTTGAGCGCTCAAAGGGCCGCTTCAGCCTTGGTCTTCTTCTCGGTGTCACAGTACATGGCGGTGAACTGAGTGTTGAAGTCGTCCTTACTGATAGCCTCAGTATCGCTCATTGTCAGCCACAGAGTACATGTCACAGTACCTTTCCTGTACCAAGTAACTGTAACACCTGTACTTATGTACATAAGTACTTATCCATAATGTTGATTACCTTTACCTCTTGTTATCTTATCATTATTATTAACTTATCTTATTTATCTTATCTGGTAATTACTTATCTATTAAATACATACCTGTGTTCTACATAAGTAATTATCACTTACCTTTCACTCCCTTGTCGGTGAAATACCTGTACCACAAGTTATCCCTCTGCTACAGTATTTTCACGGTCAAATATTATTACAAATAAGTATGTACATGTATTAAATAGTAAGTATTAAGTGTCAATAGAATTAATACATTCAATACATGCACTGATCACAATTATGACTACATTATTAGAGGATCTGTTAAGTACACGCATCAAGAGCTACTAGTACATTGACCAACTAGTACATAATTATGATGTCACTTACAGATCATGACAAATAATGATCAGTCACTCAATTGATGTGCTCATTCTCCTGGCCAAAGCTCCCTTGATTCTGAGTGCTCATTCTTTCCCTCAATATTCTGGAACTTATAATCCGTGCCTCTTTCACTGATTAATCCCCAGAATATTCAGACACCAGTTAAACCAGTTAACATTTATATTGATACAGTACACGTACCCAACATAAATCTTGTCTACATTTATTGTTCTTAAGCTTCAGTACTCTTACTCAACTTATCCACAGTATTCATAGCCTTGCTGAATATTCCCATCAACAATACCTGTTAATCTTCAACTAATTTTGTTAAAGCTTAATAAGTATTGTTAGCCCATTCCCTTTTGGGAATAACCAAATCAATCCCAGGTGAGTCTTAGTACCCTGGATGCCTATTAATACCTAGTATTGATCCGGATGCGCTGTTGATAGCAAGCCTCTCAGTAAAGACCATACTGATAGAGTGAAACCTCCTCTTTACAGGACAGGTGTTAATCACCCACTACCTAACACTCACCACACTCAAAACTTCAGTCAACTCATAGTAACAACCTTTTTACTATTAAATACTCAGGTTAGTTACCCAGAGGCTGACACTCATCACTTTCTTCATCCACGGTTGGGCCCAAGAGCTAGCTGGTCCAGTCAGGTAGGACAACACAAACACCATAATGGCGCGGTCAGTTTCAAAGAGGTGTCCATTGGCCAGGACGTAGAGGTTCACCTGGTTTATGAAAACCTCTGCTTTAGCTCCGCGGGTGCCATCGAACTTGTCGGGGATGCCAATCTTAGGGCCTTTGGCCGGCGAGGCTGGTGCTGGCGGTTGATTGTCGGCGGTCTTCAGGGCCTTCTCCAACTGGGCCTCTCTCCTGTCCAAACGCTCCTCCGCCTCCTTCCGGACTTTGCGTTCCTCCTTGACCACGGCCATGAGTTCCGTCAATTGTGCCTGGACCCCGGCGAGTTTGGAATCCTTCTTGTCTATTTCCATAGCAAAACAGTACGGGGCGGCTCACAGAGTGGCAGGTAATGCTTTGCCAGTGTGTAGTGACTTCGGAAGGTGCAACTAAAATTGTGGAGCTTAATTTTGTACTTTTAGGCCTTGCCAAATGGCTTGTGTGAGCTCTCTTTTGGGATCTGGGGTGTATTGGGGGGGTTCTGGGGTCTTTCAGGGGGTGTTCTGTGTTTTCGGGGCAGTAGTTGGGGGTCTTGGGTGTCTGAGGGGTGTCTTGGGTCTTTTGGGGGTTTTTCTGGGGGGTCTGGGGTTCTTACGGGGGGTTCTGATGGTTCTGAGGGCCTGGGTGTCCTCTCTTGGGTCCCGGGGTGAACAGGGGTCTTACAGGGGGGTTTGGGGGTCTAAAAGTCCTCCACTCCTCTTATCTTAGGGTTCTGAGAGCTTTGGTGGGGCTGTGGGGCGCTCTGGGGGGGCTCTTGAGGGCTCTGGGGCGTTTTGGAAGGTTGTTTGGGGGCCTTGGGGGGCGCTGGGGGGGTCTCTGAGGTTCTGGGGCCGCGCTGGGGCGTCCTGGGGTGCTTCGCTGTGCTTCGGGGGCCTCTGGAGGCGGTTGGGAGGCTTCTGGAGCCTTGGGGAGCGTCCAGGGGTGTGGGGGGTCTCTCTGGGTCGTCCGACGACGATCTGGTTGGATCGACATGTACGTAACAGGCTCTCTACATATGTAACGTCCTCAGTTCCAGTCCTCCACAGCTCATAACAGAAAGAAAGACAGATTTTTTTTTATTTTTTTTATGATTTTATTTGATTTAATCTGCAGTCTTACTTTCCTCTTGAGGGATGGCTGATAAGCTGTTGAAGACTAGCCTCTTCTACAAAAGAAACTGTAGAAGGTTTTAGTTTGAATATACTCAGAACTAACCACGACTTTTTAGATCAAAGATCAAGGCTCTTTAAAGGGAAACCTATGTGGTTTTCAGGTATACCACCAAATAATGAGATGAAGTGTAGAAATGGTTTAAGGTTAAGAAAGAGTGAGTCAAAGAGAAATATATGGTTGAAGAACCATATGTGAGACTTAGAAAGCAGAGCAACTTAGAAAATCAAGCAACAAGAAAGAGTACTAACTTTCAGAGTTCTAGCACGACCATGTGGAGGTAAAACTGGAAGTTGGTAACCTTTTGACAATTTAAGCGCCAAGCAGTAACAGGGTGGGTTGGTTTTTTGGTGGTTCTGGTTTGAAGTGAGTCTGAAAAACCTTGAATTTCCTGAAAAAGTGAACTTAGAATCCTCTGACAGGATTTTCAGAGTTTGATTAGGTAATAATTACATGTACTTGTGGTAGAGGGGAGCAGTAATCCTTGAGTAGCAGAATTTAGACAAGTATGGTGAAGTAAAGCAAAGTATGTGAAGGAGTAGAGTAAGATAAAAGTGGTCACTAGTGACTAGGGGTCAATTTAGCTGGGAAATCCATATCTGAAGTCAGATATGGAAAATATCTTATGAGTAAGAATTTATGATAATATTGTAGTAGGAAAAGATGGTAAAAGCAGTCTTTTGGCCAGCTACACTGGCTCTAAGGCTGACACAGGTTATGTGAGAATCTGCCAACTAATGCACCATTTCTGTTTGATCCAAGCCTCTCAAGAGTTAGAGCCAGTTGATGCACTATTGGGAGCTGAGGTTGGCCGCCCCCCTGGTGAAATACCTTGTTACCAGTGATTGTTGTTAGAGCGTGAGATTGGTAGAGATGATGATTTTCATTCATGGAAGGAAAATATTCCAACTTAAACTATCTACGAGTTTGTGACATGTGTCGCAGTCAAGACCTTGACCTATGTCACAACATCCCCCCCCCCCCCTTGACAAGACATTGACAATAGTGAAAATATAAGAGAAAGGATTTTCAGACAAGGAGAATAAAGAGTGAAAATAATAATAATAATAAACAAAAGTATATAGACTGAAAACACCAATATCAAAAAAAAAAAAACAGAATATAAATCAAAGAGAATGAGAAGAAATAAAGAGAACAAAATCATAGGAAACCTTGCATAGTTGCACTGCACTTTTGGTGTGCTGATTTTCCCAGGGATTTTGTCAGGACATCTGCTATCTGGTCCGTTCTGGGTATCCATGCAAGACAGGTCTTTCCCTCATGCAATGCCTGATTTGTGACATAGTATTCTCATTGAATGTGATGGGTCTGTTTGTTCAATGCGTTTTTGCAACCAATCTTCACTGCAGATTGGTTGTCACACAGTATCTTGACATTGAAGTTGGATCCAATGATGTTGTAGAGTAAGTTTCTGATCCAGAGAGAATGTCTGGTTGCATGTCCTAGTGCCATGTATTCTGCTTGGCACGTAGAGCTTGCCACTGTGACCAGACGTCTTGAAACCCACATGAATGGTGCACCATAAAGACAAATCATAGCTCCATAGCTTGATCTTGAATTGGATCTGCCCCAATTCACATTGCAGAAGCATTCAACAGGGGATCCGTGGTTCTCTTCATGAGGGTGAATCCGTAAAGGGGTATCCTTGGTTGCTCCCAGATATCCAATGAGGTGATTGAAACCCTTCCAATGTAATGCTGATGGTCTTGATGAGAATCAGGCCAAGTAGGACTCCATATGCTATGTTGGGTCTAGTGCCCACTTCCACATAGCTGAGACTACCAATGATGGATAGATAATCTGTTGGGTTTATTCCATCCACTCCCGGTTCTAATTTTGGGGTAAAACCTTTGGGAGGTGGCAAATGGTAAGTGGTCAACCCGTCCCAACGTTCCTGGAGTACTTTGTTGATTAAGTATGGCTGTGTGTGATCAAATCCTTTGTCAGTCCTGTTGATTTTAACACCCACCATGCTTGTGAGACCCTCATTCCATTTAATTTCCAGGCTTCCACAAAGTTGTGTTTCAAGTTGTTCCAGTGCTTCTTTGGAAGAACCCGTCACAATCCCATCGTTCACGTGTACCCATATGATGGATCTGTTGGACTTGTTGCTTAGTATACACACTAGAATTGTGATAGCTGGATTTGTACCCCAGTGCGGCCAGGGTCCCACTCAGATGCTTCCACCAGCATCTGGCTGCTTGCTTGGTCCCATAGAGTGCCTTTTCCACCAGAAACTCTGTGAGAAATCCTTTGAGAATGGTGGCAGTCCTGTGAGGGGGAAATAGCAGATGTGATATATCATGTATGTAATGATTTTCTACAACTGATACGGCTGGTTTGAAAGACCTGCCCCCCTATTGTACTACACAGGAGTTAACAACACAATTTATTTATTGTTGTGGCAAAAACTGATGATAGAGAAAACTATGTGTAGCAGTCTCTTATCAAACCTAGATCAACGTGAATTCAGCAGACTATTGGAGTGGAATTGTTGAGTAAGATGTGTTTTCTTTTTTTTATATGTTTTATGTATTTTGAAAGATGATTGGAGTATGTACTGATAATGAATAATAATTTATGAGATACTACTTAAAAGAATGTGTTTATTTGTCTTTTCCTTCTTCCTTAACCTTGGTTGGGAGCACAATGGTTTAAGATCACTGTCTCTTGTTTTTAAGATCACAAGTTGTACTGGTGGTTTACTTTCCTTTCACTATGCTTCTCAAAGTCTAAATGAGCTCAGTGGGGCACTTGATTAAGATCACACTGTTTAATGTATGGATTGATTGCTCTGTTCTGTCTGTTTGCTGATCAGATGAGATGATGATCTGATGTGATGAGATGACATCAGATGATGAAAAGTTGGAATGAGGGGGGAAAGCCCCTCCTTAAATAGTCTATTTTACAACCCGGATGACTTGTGGTTCTAGCCCTAAACTATAATGAATATGCATCTAAAACTCTGGCCAAATTGTGGTTTTGCTACTATATAAAATTCTCTGTGTACCTACAAACAATGTGGCCAACTTGTGGTTACACTATGCAATGCCTCCTTCCGGACCTTATGTTCCTCCTTGACCACGTCCATGAGTTCGGTCAGCTGCGCCTGGACCTTGGCGAGTTTGGCGTCCTTATTGTCTACGTCCATAGCAAAACAGTACGGGGCGGCTCACAGAGTGGCAGGTAATGCTTTGACGGTGTGTAGTGACTTCGGAAGGTGCAACAAAAATTGTGGAGGCTTACTTTTGTACTTTTACGCCTTGCCAAACGGCTCGTGTGAGCTCTCTTCGGGGGTCTGGTCGGAAGGTACAACTAAAATTGTGGAGGCTTACTTTTGTACTTTTACGCCTTGCCAAACGGCTCGTGTGAGCTCTCTTCGGGGGTCTGGGGTGTCTTGGGGGGTTTCTGGGGTCTTTCAGGGAGTGGTCTAGGTGTTTGGGGAGTTTCTTGGGGTTCTTGGGGTGTTTCAGGGGTTAAAACTTCTTGAATCAACATCCAATCCTGCCTGCATTTCAACGCCGTCTAACTCTGATTCCAGTCCCATCCTCGCCTAGCATTCTGGCCGCTAGTGCTACTAGAGATCCTAGCAACCTTAGCTCAATCCGCTCGAGTGACAGCTTCCACACTGCCGACAATTTTCTTATGCCTCAAGTTCGAGTTTCTTCACCAACCCCCGCGGATATGTATGATCCAGACAATTATCACCTCCTGGCTTGTCACCAGATCAAATCTTTGCTAGACCTCCGTGCAGCGCCCGAGTGCTTCAATCGTTATGAGTTTATGCCCCAGCACTTTGACGACTTTTACCAGTCAGCTACTTCAGCCCTAGTCCATCATTGGACTCGTCACCCTGCCGCCAACGCAAACAAACGTCAAGATCGAGTTCGCTTGTTTCAGTTCATCACTCGCCAATACTGCACCATGACTCGCCGAGTTGTGTAGGATGTAAGTTGTTTTGTTGATTTTTTTCCTTGGTTGATTGGTTGCTGATGTTTGTTTTCCTTTTCTATGTTGTCTAGACCTGCTTCACTGGAACCGGTTCTGCTGCCTGAACATCATGGACAGCCAATCTATAGGGGTAAAAAAAGTATTAAAACCAAAAAAACCAATACATAACCATTTTTTTTAACTCAAGAAAAGTATAAAACTTTCTCAAGCTAAAAAAATTAGTATAACCAAAAATCCAAAACAATTTTGTCTAGTCTCAGCCTTAACTTATTTTTGTTTTAGCCTTAACTTATCTTAGCTTCTACTGCCTGCTTTAATTACCAATGAAGCCCAACCCCTCCCCCAACTTAAAAAAAAGGTTGTCCCCAACCTAAACTAAGTGAGAGAAATAAGTGAGTTTGCCAATGGAAGTACAGTGAGAGCATAAGTGAGTAAAAGTTTTGAGAAATCTTCCAACCAGTGAAGACCTAACTGAGAAGAAAGAATGAAGAAAAAAAAAAAAAAAAAGAGATAAGAAAGAAGATGATTGTTTTTGAAAAGAAGATGGGGGACTTCATCCCCCAGCTCAAATAATATTAATCCTCAGATCAATAAGTACAGGGATTGAAATAATTTTTCATAATATTTTGTACTTTTATGTATGTTTTTGTGTTTTAATGGGTTTTTCATCAATTTTTCTTGGGGTAGTATTTTCTGCGAGAAAAAGTGAAATTGAAAATAAAATATTGATTAAAAGCTTCAAGTACTAATATTTTTGACTTCTTTTGTTAATTTGTGAGGTCTTGAACAGTTTAGTCTTGTGCCCAGGAGGTAGCTGAATTTAATTGGAACTATTTCCATCCAAGCCGTTGGAATCTCCCTCATGATCAGAGCTGTTCTGGCTCTCATCATAATTGCTTCCAATTTCTGGGTCTTCTTTGTCGTCGTTAATTTTGTCCAGCCATTGTCCTCAAGGATAAAATCTTTTGACATGTGATGCCGCATAAGTCCGGTGAAGTTCAGTTCCATCCAGTTCTTCCAGTAAGTAAGATCCTTTGGGTAATTGTTCCTTGCCTTTGAAAGGTCCATTCTATTTATTAGAAAATAACTTTCCCCATTGGTCTTCCAAACTTTTGTTCTAGATTAAAACTAGATCTCCTGGGTTCAAAGGTCTTTGTAATTGTGCTGCCATTTTTCTATCCCAGTATCTGACGGAGGCTTCCCTGGCTTTGATCATTTTACCGTGAGCTTCTTCCAGAATTTCCTCTCATCTTTTGAGTTGCATCTTCCGGGCTTCCAAAAGTTCTGCCGTAGTTTTGATTTCTGACCAGTCTATCCCTAAATATGAATCCATTTCTAGGTCAACTGGCAAAACTTGTAGGTGTCCAAAAACCAGCTCATAAGGGGTAAAGCCAGTGGTTTTTTTTTGTTGAAATTCTGTTGGAAAATAATACTTATGGAAGATATTCCCACCATTTGCCTCCAGATTCTCTGCACATTTTGACGAGAGTATCCTTGATTGGCCGGTGTCCGTGTTCTATCATTCCATTAGCTTCTGGATAATATGGTGTTGTAAACTTGAGTTTTGCACCAGTATTTTCAACAGCTTCAATGAAATCCTTTTTGAATTTGGCGCCATTGTCCACTGTGACTGTCTTGATTGCTCCATATCTGTATACACAGGATTCCAGAAGAAATTTGGCCACATTGCTAGCAGCTAGCTGTGAGTTTGACTAGAGGAGCAGCCTCTACCCATCCAGATAAATTTTCTCGTGCTACAATGAGATATTTGTATTGTCCAGCTTTGATATGGCATGCGTCCAGAGCTACTCGTCCAAAAAGGTAACTGTCCCCGGTTGCATTTCAAATTTTCCTTGGTACCAAAGGATCCCGTTTCTGACATTCTTCACAGCTTCGAATCTATTTCTTGACCTTCTTTTTCAAGCTTGGCCACCAAAATCTGGTTACCAGACGCTGATAGGTTTCTTCAATGCCTCAATGTCCCAGTTCCTTGTGAACTTTCTGGAGTAATCTTTCCCAATAAACATCCCTGGTTACCACAATCTGTGGAGCAGGTGAATGTTTTCTCATTAATCATCCATCACTGCTGAAAAATCGTGCTGAGTTCCATTGAAGTCTTGCAAATTCCAGTCGTTCCATATGCGCAGGTTGTTCCAAAGTTTCCAATTAGTGCCGTAAATCTCGCCAATATCCAGTAGCCTCCCATTCATTGAGTTCTAAAATTTCAGCTTGATAACAAATCTGAAAATTATAGTGTGGTTTGACTACTGGTTCTTCCTTGTCAAAGTCGTCCTGGTCCCGGTAGAATTCCTCATCATTGCTAGAGATGGGTTGTCGTGAAAGTCCATCCGGTAAAGTGAAAGTTTTTCCAGGTTTGTGAACTATATCAAAAGAAAATAGCTGGATGAAGGCCACCCATTGTGTCATAGCCGCATTTGGAAGGGATGGGGAATTTTTCATTTGAATGAAAGATTTTGCATCCACTTGAAGCTCAAAGTGTTGGCCCCAAAGGTAAGTCTGTAATTTCTTTAATACTCTTGATACCCCACATAACTCCAATTTTGGCTGAGAATATCTTGATGGGGGTTGATAACCGCAAGCCAACCCCCCTCACACCAGCTGCAGATTGGTGTGCGTGCCTGCATGCCATTGCAGAATGGTGTGCAGGCAGGCACGCCACTCGCCTGCAGGTTGGCATGCAGGCAAAGTTTGGAGTGCGCCCTTGCACGCCAAAGCATTTGCGGCCTAAACGCGTATACATATGCGTTTTGGCCCCAGGCCGACCCATACAACCCAGGGATGGGTCGGCTGGGGGCGAAAACGCATATGTATACGCGTTTAGGCCGCAAATGCTTTGGCGTGTTTGTTTGCACACCAAACTTTGCCTGCATGCCAACTTGCAGGCGAGTG